CTTTACTTCTTTAGTTACTGTTCTATGCTTAAAAAAAAATAAGTTTAAGAACTTATTTCAAAATAGCAATAATCTATATACAAATTCATAAATTTACTGAAACCATACAGAGATTAATTACTGAAAATAACAGATAAAATATAAAGTTTTTCTTAAGAAACGTTTGATAACTATCTCAACATTGTAAAGATTTCGCATGTGCAATTTAGTTTTTCTGATGCATGATAGATAGGCAAGATGTGAAAAGACAAAAAAGGCATGAGAGAAAAATTGATTTACAAACCTTAAGACTTAATAAAAAAAATCTGATATTTTGCATATGAAAGAATTGTAATGTTTACTGATAATCTGCCAAATTTCGTTAACATTTGGTTACTAATTTAAAGTTATAACATGAAAACTATAACAAGCAAAAAATGGTTACGAGGTCCTGGGACTGAGCCTGTGCTGAAAGAGTTGATATTTTTTTATTTTATTTAGAAACACGAACTTTATGTTATCCAAACAGTACTTCACCATGCCTGCTTTTTGTATCACAATATGTAAATTTTGTTTAGTTAGTACTGTTGGTCTCTTTGTCCAATCTCATGTGTAAAATTATATTTGTAGGTGGATGAAAATGGGAAGATCACTCGGCTGAGACGTGAATGTGACAATGAAGAGTGTGGAGCGGGTGTGTTCATGGCTTCTCACTTTGATAGGCAGTATTGTGGCAAATGCTGCCTGACCTACGTTTATAACAAACCAGAAGACAAGTAACCTTGTTTGAATGTAAACTTTCCAGGAAAATAAAGTATATGTATTTGATATTAATGTTTTTCTATTAAAAGAACAATTATAAAAAAATATTTACATGATGTAGCAAACATAAAAAAAAAAGACAATACATGGTAAAAACATCCAATGAAAGAATAAACTGCTTCAGCTAGTTAGAGTGAAGAAGTGATATATATTTTTTTCTCTAAAGATATAGCCTTGTTCCTACAGGTAACACCATCTTTTTTTGGCAACAAATCATCAACAGTTTTAGAAATACACAACCTCTGTAACAGTCATTTAAGTTTAGCATTTTAGACCTTGCCATATTTCTAAGGTGTTGCTACTCAAATAAAAATTGATGGAAATTATGAATTTCAACTTGATCTAGTTCACACGTGGTATCAATGTTAAGCAGTTTGCAAGAATAAAGAGTAATTGAAATAGCATCTTAGGAAGTGGCTGTCGTTAACTAAGCTGTGCTATACCAGATTAATGTCTATAAAATATAACATTTATTCCCAACATTATTATGGTGAATCTACTCATTGCTTCCAGTGAAAGTTTTGTCTGATAATGGCAACATTTCATGTTTCACTAGGAGCTGTTTGGATACTCTGAATAGAGTAATTGAAACCAGTACTGTTGGTAATAGAAATGGTGAGGTTGTAAACCCAAACTCTTAATGAAAAGTGATGTTAAGTAATTTAGGGCAAATATCACGTGACAATCCATTAAAAATCTTGCCACTGACTTAGCTATAAAATAAGTGTGAATGTTACCTCCAGAACAGTAAGATATACATTAGCATGAGGTGGCCTTAATAGAAGTGTAGTTGCTCATAAACCATTCCAAAGGAGGGGGAGAAATGAACAAAGCTGGAATAGTGGTTTTTACAGATTAAAATTATTTTGCAACAACCATTGACAGTTTGTTTAGTGGCAGGAAGATTGATATTATGGTCAAACACTTAGTGAAGCTTAATTGGTAACCCAAATATAGGCTGCATCTTGGCTAAAATTGTTAATTTACGCAAAATTTATGGCACCGTGACTGCTGACAGGTACAAGTAAATTATTATCCATAATGTCATTCCCTCGGTTGAGTAGGAATTCATCTTTGAAACATTTAGAAAATGTGGTGAATGGAAGATAAAGGGGCCTAATGGAATAGTCACTTGCACAAAATTCTTAAATAAAATATTGAATGGGTTATGGGAAAATATCATATGGCAACAAATCTAATGGTTCTGGTAGTCTTGGGTGTTTTCAATACAATGGATATTGATAGTAATGAAGAATATTTTTAACTTGTAATAAGGCCAGGTGGTTAGGGAGCTCGACTCGCAATATTCGGGTTTGAATACCCGTCCCAGTAAACGTACACGCCTTTTCAGTGATATAATGTGACGGTTATTCGTTGGTAAGAGAGTAGCCCAAGAGTGGGTGGTGATGACTAGCTGCCTTCCCTCTAGTCTTACACTGCTAAATTAGTGACGGCTAACGCAGATAGCCCTCGTGTAGCTTTGCGCGAAATTCAAAACAAACTTGTAATAAAATAAAAACTTTGAGTTTGTTAAGTCAAGATCATTCTGTGGTTATGTTTTTATGGCAAAATAGGTAATTGGTGAAAATTAATTAAAATAACAAAGGACACTGGATGCTAAAAGTTCAGCAGTTAAAGTAATGTTTATTGATATAAGGCATGTTTCTAAAACTTTGAAAGCTGGATTATTACGTTTATTGAGATATATAAAAACAAGAATTAGAAAATATTCATTTAAAGTTGACTGTCTACTATTTTTTCGGAGTAATGAGTTCATAAAACTTTCATATTCATACTGTTTATGAAACTCGTTTGATCTGTGCTGTAAGCCGCATCATTGGTCCGTTTACACGTGCATCTTGTTCACTAACATTAGTAACCCAAAAGTTTTAATGCTAATTCGACCTGGTCATCTTTTTCAGTACGCTTTCTCTTACAGTGTAGGTTTTCATTCTGTTTTGCTCCCATCTCAATGTCGGCTCGACTTTTTATAATTTTACACAAAAAAGGTTGGGAAATTTTTAATTACATCACCCCATTTCTGGTAACTTATTATAGCGTTCTAAAAATGGCAACTTTTTCTTTGAGGGTTAGATCTTTACGTTTCTTATGCACTTCTTCCATTATTAAAGAGGGTTAACAAAAATTGAAATTTGTGGGAGCACAGTCTTTCACGAAGGAACGAAAACAACTACTATAATTATGGAAAGGAAACGCAAGAGCGTTGGTTATCTTAAATAACAACTTAAATGTGATAAAAAACGAAGAGCTGATTACAATAAACGATGTTTTTCGTATATACATTTGGTCTGATAACATTATCCGTGATCACAATATGCCTCATCTAGTGTAGTTGTTTTTGGAAAGGCAATACAGTATTCATGGTTGAATACAATCAAAAATTCAATATGATTTATGTTCATAGACAGCAAACCTTGCAAAATAGCTTCTTAGAGTTTGTCACTAAAAAAACTATACAAACAAAAAATTTTACAATACCAAATAAATATAATGTAACCATTTAGTCCTTCAAGGATGACATTGTACACCCATCCTTGAGAAAAGTGAAAATTTAAATGCATTTTTTATTTGTCAGAAAACAATTTCCTTTTTTAACTCCTGTAAAGTGCTAACTTCCACTACTACCACAACAACTCATTCCTTAATCCAGTCACCGTTAGAAGAATAAAACTCTTAATGGGAACTTATCCTTCTTTTACAGATTTTAAACTTATGTTTTGTTTTCCTGTTCCCTTCAGTATAAAACGACGCAAAGAAATCATAAACCTTTATCCTATCGAGCCATAGACAGTCTTGCAAACTTCAATAAGATAATTTATTAGCCCAGAATCATCCAAGTTGTTTTCCTCTTAACCATTTCCAACACGTCAATAACCCTTTATTGATAAGTGTACCGTAATTGTACGCTGTATTCGAAGTGAGACCTAACTAGCGATTTTAGAAATGATTCCACTTTTTTTTCTTCTTACTTGTAATCAGTCAGAATGTCCATCAGTCCCAGATTTCCTAGGACAGTCTCCAGATGAGGAATGTTGTCCTCGACTCGAAAGATTCACTCCCAAAGTTCCTTTAAATTTAATTCATTTCGAAGTCTGCAGCAAGAATACTTTAGAAATAAACACTGAATCAGTTTTATTATTATATTTGGTATAGTATCTATATGCACGCTCGCACTTTCAGCCTTATGGGCGTTATAAAATGACGGTCAATTCCACTATTTGTTGGTAAAAAGTCTCCCAAGAGTTTGTGGTGGGTTGACTAGTCTATCATTTCTAAATTAGGGACAGCTAGTGCTAATAGTCCCAATTAACTTTGCGCAAAATTCAACAAAAAGCATCGTTATGTAACGACAATGGTGTAGTCGCGCTAAACAAGAACAATAAAATACTTTTATAACAAAAACGCACACCAGAGAAATATAACTGGCACTAATACAGCAAACTTCTCCAGTACTGCTTTCATCTAGAATTATGGTGAGTACAGTTGGAATTTTTTTATAGAAGTATTCCCGGTTTTGGTTTACAAAATATGGTCACCTTGCTGTAAATACATCTTTAAATTCTATCAGCTTCACTACTAGCATCAGAACACTGCCTCGACGGCTTGAGTAACTTATCTACCTCTATCATAAAATCTTTTAAAGTCACGCTATTGAGTGGATTTACATTTATATTAGACTTGTGATTTAAATTATGATAAACCAATTGCATTACCTTTCACTTTTTATGATATAAGGTCATTTGATAAATATTTTTCCGATTTACCAATTGATCTAACTTATTCTGTCAAATCTTAACATCTCAACCTTCTCTATACAGTTAGAAATACTCATGACTTTACTAATTATGCCCCTATTAATATCGTTATTATAAATAATCAAAAGCAAAGGTTCAAACACTGATCCCTGAGGCAATCCTCTAATAACAAGGGTTCCGCTTGAATGGACTCCTTCAATAACAATATTTTGTTTTCTTCCATCCAACCACCTTACAAACCAATTAATTGGTTTTCCCCAACTACTACTAATGTGATTTTCTTAGCTAATCTTTTGTGAGGCACCTTATAAAAAGTTTTTTTTTAAACTTAAATACACCAAGTAAACGCCCTTTCCATCGTCCTGTTAATAAGTAAAAGCCGAGCTTCAGTGAAATTAGTACATTTCTTTCTTTTTACTTTGATGTTTAGAGTTATAAAACTTTTAAAGGGTTCAAATGACTTATTTCGTTTTTTGTCATTTTGAGAAAAAATAACCTTAAAATTAAAGTATTTTCGTATTGAGAATAGAATATAGTAACGCGGCTGTGACTGCAATCTAGTTAACTGCTGTAACTCTACATATGCAACCGAACTTTTGACCAAACCTAGGGTATTATCATAGCTGTTCCAAATGTTTTTTATGTTTCTGAACAGATATTAAAAACAGCAGCTTCACATCTATTATAGATTAGGAAGAATAAGTAGTAAAATTATTGTTGTTGATCTGTTTCTCGTTCAAGAAGCAGAACGTATAGTAAACAAAAGTGGATAGGCATTAAAGAAATAATAATAAATAGAAAATCACTAGCAAATATTAATTTGAACAAGGGTTTGACAACTTTAACATATATACATGATCGTCGGTAATGGGGGCAATTGCCCCTCCTGAAAACTGAGAAACATATACCCTTGATTTAGACTTTGTCCCCCCGTGGAGAAATTTTTGTGAACGCTCATGCACATATATTAATATATTTTTTGGTAATTTTAAGAGTGAATTGCCTTCCACATACACTAGGCTAAAACTATGACTTAGAGAGTTTAGAAGCAGGTAGAAAATTTAAATGTGAGAATGGAATAGCAGTCAATAACGTCTCATAACACCTGGAGTGCAAATTCCACTTCAGGGCGAATATAATTTTTCATTAATTTTGGTTATTAAAACAAAAAGTAGTTAATATAAAATCAAAACATTTTACAAGAACAGTCAATGTAGAATAAAGGGAGTACCCCGGTGAAACAGCGATAAGTTATGACGTTAAAATCCGGGGTTCGATTCCCCATGGTGGACACAACAGATAGCCTAATGTGGCTTTGCTCTAAAACAAACAAAGTATAAAGGGATCAGTCATACAAAGATGTGATATAAAAAAAAAAGGTGCTAAGTTATATAAAGTGGACAATTTTGTTAAGACGTAATAAAAGCGAACAAGCTAACCAAGAAAAAATTTAATATTATTTTATATTCATTGCTTTCCCCAATTTTCTTTGTTGAAATTACCTGTTCTTACAGGATTTTCCGTTAACTGTTTTGTTTCATATCAAATCTTTATATGGCTAAGCGCCTTATTCTAGCTTGGCTGTTTTTGTAAAATACCGTATTGCCCCTAATTAACGCTCCCGGGAGCATTGCAAAACTACAAACGGTGGGGCTAATTGTAATATTTGTACATTCCGGATTCTATTTTTGACATGTGATTTGTTGATTTCAAACCTAATAAGCATTTGTTTTTCTTCTTTCTTTTTTTCAAGTCAAAATTATGGTAATAAAAGTGGATTATATGTTGGATTACTATTGCTGACACACAAGGTAAGCTTTATAAAAATACCGGGAGGGGGCATTAATTAGGGGCAGTACGGTATTTTAATTAGGTAAATCTTGCAAAAATTCTAATTAGAAAGAATTTTTTTCCCTAGAGAAATCCATTAAACCTGGTAAATCAAATCATGGACTTACGTTTTAGCTATAATGAAAAACTGTCAAGTTTCATATACAAATATATATATATGTGTGTGTGTGTGTGAGTTATATATAATACCAGAATTTAGCTCACATGAGTTCTGTGATACTAGATAATGTTAATTCTACAATACTGGAATTTATCTGATATGAGTACCGTGATACTGGAAGTTAGCTAATATGAGTTCTGTGATTCAGGAATTTAGCTTTTATGATTTCTTTGATACTGGAATTTAATTAATACAAGATCTTTGATACTGGAATATAGCTGATATTATCTCTGTGATCCTAGAATTCTGCTTATACGAGTTCCATGATAATGGAATTTAGCAGATATGCTATTGTGGGACTAAACTTAAATTAACATCATTTCTGTGATACATGAATTTAGCTGACATTTTGGAGTTTAGGTGGTATAAGTTGTTTGATACTAAATCCTTTCTGATATGAAATGTGTGATACTGGAATTCAGCTGATATGATTTCTAAGACACTGGTATTTAACTGATATCATTTCTGTGATACTGGAATTTACTAAGTATGATCTCCATGATAATGAAATTTAGATGATATATAATTGGTAATACTGTAATTTATCCATATAAGTATTGTGATACCGAAATTTAGCTGATATCATTTCTGTGATACAGAAATTTAGGCAGTATGAGTTCCATAATAGTGGAATATATCTGATATCATTTCTGTGATACTGGAATATAGCTGATATTATTTATATGATACTGGAATTTAGCAGCTATGAACTTTGAAATAGTGTAACTTAGCTGATAGAATTTTTATGATACAGGACTTTAATTGATATGAGTTGTTTGCTACTAGAATGTAGCTCATTTGAGCTCTGTGATATAAGAACTTAGTTGGTATGAGTACTGTGATATTGTATTTAGCAGGTATTACTGTGATACTGGAATTTAGTGGGAATAATTTAAATTGTGTGATACTGGAATTTTGCTGATATAAAATCTTTGATTCTCAAATTTAGCTGATATTATCTCTTTGATCCTGTAATTTAGCTGATATTATCTCTTTGATCCTGTAATTTAGCTGATATTATCTCTTTGATCCTGTAATTTAACTGATATCATTCTTGTGATACTGGCATTTTGCTGATATAAAATCTGTGATTCTCAAATTTAGCTGATATTATCTCTTTGATCCTGTAATTTAACTGATATCATTCTTGTGATACTGGAATTTATGTGATATTATGTATATGATACTGGAAATCAGCTGATATAAGGTTTGTGATACTAGAATGAAGCTGATATCATTTCTGTGATACTGGAATTTAGCAGGTATGGGCTTATATAATTATATAAGGTATTTAGCTAACATAATATTTGTGATATATTCGACATTAGTGAGCTTATATAATTATATAAGGTATTTAGCTAACATAATATTTGTGATACATTTGACTTTAGTGAGCTTATATAATTATATAAGGTATTTAACTTATATAATTATATAAGGTATTTAGCTAACATAATATCTGTGATATATTCGACTTTAGTGAGCTTATATAATTATATAAGGTATTTAGCTAACATAATATCTGTGATATATTCGACTTTAGTGAGCTTATATAATTATATAAGGTATTTAGCTTATATAATTTTTGTGATATATGGGACTTTAGTTAATATGAATTGTTTGCTAATTTAGTTTACATTATTTCTTAGATACTGAAATTTAGCTGGTATCATTTTTGAGATACTGGAGTTTAGTTGATATGAATTCTATAATATTGGGATTTAACTGGTATTAGGTTTGTGATAATGAAATTTAGCTGATATCATTTCTTTGATTCTGGAATTTACTTTATATGAGTTCTGTGATACTAGAATCAACTAATATGTGCTCTGCGTGTACTGGAATTTAGCTGATATCATTTCTTTGATTCTGGAATTTACTTTATATGAGTTCTGTGATACTAGAATCAACTAATATGTGCTCTGCGTGTACTGGAATTTAGCTGATAGCATTTCTGTGATACTGGAATACAGCTGATATAGCTACATAGTATAAGAATTTAGCTGTTATGATATTGGAATTCAGCTGATATGATCTCTGTGGTACTGGAATTTAATTGATAACATTTTTATGATATTATAATTTAACTGGTATTAGGTTTGTGATAATGAAATTTAGCTGATATGATTTCTGTGATACCTGAAAGTAGTTTATATTATTTGTGTGATAATATAGTTTAAGTTGTGTAAGCTCTATCATACTAGAATTAAACTGATATGAGTTCTGTGATACTGCAAGTTAGCTGATGTCATTTATATGACAATTGAATTGAGCTAATATGAACGTTCTGATACTGGAATGTAACTGATACAAACTGTGTGACAATGGAACTTTGCAAACATGATTTTGATGATACAAGAATTTAGCTGATATGAGTTCTGTGAAACATATTGGATTACTTTGACTATTTCTCTAATGAAAGATAAACTTTCGGAAATATCCTGCTGATAAGGAGGGTCAAATTAAATCCCCTTCGAGTTTTCTAGAGGCAATAGCCAGAGGCCCAACTGTTCCAGGTTTTATTTCATCTTCGTTCTCACTAACGCGCAAAGATGCTAGAAGCGCCTGCTGTCCTCTAATTGCTGATTCATGCAACTGCTTTTGCATCACGGCTAGTGATACTTTGTTGGACTTCATAAATTCTTGCATGGAAATAAGTTCATCTGAGTTACGTCGATCGTCATCACTGTCGTACGTAGAATCAAGGTCATCACATTCTGGAACAGATGCGGATTTCCTGGAGTGTCGCATCTGGCCAAGGGTTATAGCATTCCTACGTCCACGCTGTACGTTCTGTCGGTTCTTGCCTTTAGTCTTCTTCCTACACTTGCAATTACAGTCTAACTTTTTGATAATACAGTTAAGAAACTGTTTGATGACTATGGTAGTAACATTGAAGAAGCTGTACATGATACAGGACCCACACACCAAGAACAAGAAGTTTGCGAGTCGGTAGAACTCGACATTCTGATAGGTTGATCGTTGACTGGTTACGTAATCTCCGAAACCTATGGTGGCGAAGGCGACAAAACAAAAATAAATTGCTTCAAAGTAGCTCCACTCTTCCATGGGAGCATATAGTGTTGAGGCGCAAACAGCCAAAAGTATGCTTGTGAGAAACAAGTACAACATCACCCAATACACAGACGGTTTCCAACTGTCCAAATGGTCATCCAAAGAGGCTTGCGAGTCGCGCCTTTGCTTAGGGTACTGACCCTTGCGTCGTAGCTCTATCTCATGGATAGATCGTAAGACGAAAGCCAGAAAGGTAATAATTCGTTCTAGAAAGAGATTGAAAAAGAGGAAAGCTCCTGAACACCCTAGGAATCCATAAATAATAACCATGACTTTTCCTGGAACTGTCTGAGGTGTGGTCATCCCGAAACCTGAAAGAATAGAAAACAAATATTTTAGAGTCAAAGAAAATAATGAATTGAGCTGGCAGATTTGGCTCTGATACCAACGACCGTGTTTAAGGAAAGTTGTTTTGTTTGTTATTAAGTGCAAATCTACACAATGGGCTGTTTGTTCTATTGCCACAACAGGTATCGAAACCCGATTTTTAGCGTTACGTGCCCTCGGTGTTACCAATGAGCCACCTTGGGGGTGGAGGCAACGGGAGCAGTTGGAAACGAACAACGTGATAATGAAAGATTTACTTATTTAACAGCTATTTTTTCCACAATGTACACTATGTGTTAGTGAAAAGACTTCTTTATTTGTAAATAGAAAAGCACCAATAAGAGGATTAAACCTAACCGCTGGTGTGTGATATACTTTTGCTTCGTAGTAACACTGAATGTTTCGGTTATGAGATGAATATAATTATCGATACCAATCATAATTTAAGTAAGTTCTACAATTTTTTAAAGATAATTTGGCTTGTTTTATAACTGTTAAGACAAAATTGGAATTAGAATTTTCAACTCGAACGGCACCAATATGCGCACATAGACTAAACAGCCAAGTCAGAGATCCGAAGGTACAGCCGTCCCTTATTTTAAGCACGCCAGTGGCACAGCGGTATGTCTGCGGACTTACAACGCTAGAAACCGGGTTTCGATACCCGTGGTGGGCAGAGTAGAGATAGCCCATTGTGTAGATTTGTGCTTAATTACAAACAAACAAACCTTATTTTAAACTACTGACAAACTTACAATAGCACCCACTTAAAAATTTACTTTACTTGGTGTAATGGTTTTATTGTACCTGTGTCAAAAATTATAAACGTTGTCGATAAACTCAACTACTTTACCAATATAAGTATATTGTAGCGTTCGTAGTGGAATCTTAAGGCGAAATATTTGACTTTCATATTTATAAATTTTGTGTAAAAATTTCAGAAACTTTTAATAAAGTATTCATACGACTAGGGCACTCGACTTGCAATCTGCGGGTTGAGAAATCGAATCCCGTCACCAAACATACTTGCTCTTTCAGCTTTGGCAGCGTTATAATGTGATGGTCATTCCCATTATTTGTTGATAAAAGGTAGCCCAAGAGTTGTCGGTGGATGATGTTGACTAGCTGCCTTCTACCTAGTTTATTACTTCTAAATCAGAGACGGCTAGTGCAGATAATCCTCGAGTAGCAATTCAACAAAACAACGGGTCATGTAATGTTTTGTGAGGAACCGATTGAAATGAACAATTAATTCACAATTACAGTAGTAACAAATTTTACAGTAGATAAGTTCTGATTTTAATGCTTACAACATTTCGACTCGTAGTATTGAGTCATCAGGTAAAAGTTACATTGAAAAAGGCAGTTGAATTTCAGAGAACGTTACAGACACTTGATGGTGAGAACAAGTTTGTAGATGGCGTTAAATTAGCTTTTTAGTAAAATGAATTGGATAAAAAATTGATGTAAATAAAGAGGCGTTCTTTGATATTCATTTAGCCTTGACTTTATCAGTAGTCCTTCAGCTATTTTTCTTTTGTTGATGTCTGGTTCTCTTCGAATGATTTCGACATTGTTTTCGTTGATGATACGTTTTGTTTCTTTGAGATGTTCAAAAACATGAGAGAGGTCCTTTAAGATGTTCCTCAAGTCTGAGGTTCGTTTTTCTCTCGGTTTCTCCAATATAAAAGTGTTTACATGAGTTGCAGATGGTTTTGTAGATGACTCCGTTGTTTCTATTTTCAGTGAGGTTAATTGTTTATAATAAAGTTCTTGATTTTAATACCTGGCTTTTGTATGATTATGGTATTTATGTCGATGTTTTGTTACTTCAAGAATCGTTTCCACAATCCAATTAGGTTTTCGCTAATTTGTCCGACATAAGAAATTCTAATGGTGATAATAAAGTTGAAGTTTTCATCTTCAAGGTTTGTATTTTTGTGTTTATTTGACGTTTTCTGTTTTCTTTATGGATGTACCAATTATTTTTTAAAACTTCTTTCCGATGTTGTTTTTGAACGAAGATTTCAGAAATTATTTGTAGTTCATCGTCTACATTATTTACAGAACATATATTAAATGACATTTAAATAATTCAAGGTTTCTAGTTTCTGTTGTATAGAGTGTTCGGGTTTCCAATTAAGATATTATTGTGAGTTGTTGCTTTTCTATGTATTTTTTATGGTGTGAAGTTTACAAAGTTTATGGGGAAATTTTATTCATCTTCAAATGTTGGGATGTATGTTGTTTGACAATCTTTCTTTTCTTCGTCAGAGTTGAAACCACAGGAGACACCATCGACAGATTTCACCCAATATAAGAGTTTGTAGATGGCTTTGATTAAAGTCTGTTTTTCCAGTTGAATTAAAATTGTGTTTGCTAGTGCACTTGATACTGTTCCGACCATACAGAGTTCTACCATTGGTGTATTGTAACCAGTTATGCAGTCTTCTTTGCCAAGTGTTTTTAGAAAGTTGTTCAGTTGTTCTTAATTATATCTGTATAAATGACGTATCTTTATCATTTATAGAGTATTTATATAATATATAGTGTTACCTCTGTCATAAAACTTCGTTTCGATGATCTAGAAAGAAGATACAATGAATAACTAAAATAAATTTAGAATTTTCAGAAGCAAAATTGAGACATGAATTCGAAGTCTGTCGACCAAACAAATGATTCGACTTTTCAATTGTAACTATTATTTTATCGTGAAAAAATCATATATTACTGTGTTATTTTCTTCAGCACCGTGAACAGTAAGTATAATCTGATATCACATAATACTTCTTTAAAATTCTGACTAAAGTAATGAAGTGAAGATCAATTCCAGATCCAAAAGGCGATGAAACATTTGTCACTTTGAGAGTCCAAATACCATTATGTTTACTGTTTCACTTGACCCCCAGTGGCACAGCGGTATGTCTTCAGACTTACAATGCTAAAAACTGTGTTTCGATACTCGTGGTGGGCAAGAGCACAGATAGCCCAATGTGTAGCTTTGTGGTTAATTATAACCAAGCTGTTTCACTTTTTTAGAAGCTCCAAATCTGCATAGTATGCCACGGCTCACTGATATATACCGTGACAGTTTCGGGTTGTTACTTAGAGATCTCCTGACCTTGTATCTGAGTTAACATTTATAAAATTCTTAGGGGTAATCCCAATAAAACGAAACACGTGGTTAAGCTGCCTTTCTTAGTAGTTGCTTTAAATTGTCACAACTTTCAAATAGTTTACTCTTTTCCTGTGTTATTCTAAACAAACTGGGTCTTATATAAGATACACTTTATAGTTGGAATCACTTGTGGAGATACATGTTAATTATTTATACCTTGGCAATTTCTCTATATATATTTTGGATTTAGTTTGTAAAAGTCAGCTGTTAATCAGTAGCAATCCACAATATTTGGCAAATACAGCGAAACACATTTTGTAATTGAATTAGATAATAATAAAAATCCTTTCATATTTAACCAAACTGTTTATTTATTTTGTTGTTATGCACAATTGCTACCTGTGCTCTGCCCGTAGAGTCAGTGCCGTAGCTACGGTGGCATAAAAGGGCGCAATGCGCCCTCTAAAAATCTACCTTAAAAATAAAATAATGCCTCTTTTACTTTTTCGAACTTGAATAATTCCAATGTACTCATGTATAAAAATATTAGGTAACCGAAGTAATAGTTGCTGTAAATCAATATTTATAAAATAAAATATATTTGTACTTATGCTTTCAGCTTTTGTGTTTTTTATCGCAACGACGGCTGCATACCGCTGACGTGGATTATTCAGATACGTCAGATTTCACATAAATTGTTATTGATCGATGCAACGTTAATTGTTCGTTTATTAATAAAATAAGAAGTATCAATGAATGTTAGACAACGTGTTGCTTCTTACACAAGACAAAAGCATAGTTGAATACACTAAATTATTCGTGTTGGAAGTGAATTATTGCGCAAGAAGGGAACTGTATGCACTCATCGAACTGTGAAGATAAGAAGACACATAACTGAAACCGCTCTCTCATTCTTGTTTATGCTTTGCTAGATTTACAGTGTTTGAGGCATTGTTATTGACGGAAAGATTCTATCCACGGCATCCATTTTGTTCTCCAGAGGTGAGGAAATGTTACTTTAATTGTTAGCAGGCACTTTAGTAAATTCTATATAATAGTTCTAGGAATCGGTCTTATTACTTACTAGCTGAGGTACCCGGCATTGCCCGGGGGATTTTATATATATTTGCATTTAGAAGTTTTTAGGCCTACTTAGATTCAAATGAGCAAGCATGCGTGATCCGTCAGCACACTGAATAGTTTTTCCCGTCTTCACGCTTCTACAACACCCTTACTGCAACAGCCTTTTTTTTACGCTTTATCTTCCTTTATAGGCCTCAAAAACATTTTAAAAAGCTTCAACTGATCGCACCCGGAAAGTGATGACGTCATAACGTGACTGCGCCGTGATTAGTTGAATAGCCATATCTGTTACAGCATGACAGACAGACATCGGATTGAAATAATCGGCACGTCACTTTCTTGGCCTGGTCAAAAAACGCATTTAATGTATTCATCACTTTGCTCTAGCTGGCCTGTGGTCTGATATATTGTGTCACAACGCCTCAAAACACAAAGTCCTTCCTTTTATATATATAAGTTACTTATTGTCTTATTTATATCTAACTGATACTTACATACCTTAATTTGTAATTAATACTTTAACGGTAATATACTAAATAGGGTCCTAATTTTACAAAAGTGGTAAAAAATTGTTCCTTTATTAATTCACAAAAAGAATGTAATTAATATTCAAATAATTGTCTGATTTTTTCATCCCTGCATTCTTTCATTTTTTGTGTTTTAGGAAAGAGGAATGGAAAATAAGAAATACAAGCAAAGTAAGCTGAGCTTTGGGTTTGCAGCAGCAACAGCATCAAACCCACCAAGTTTAACAGAGACGTTCACATCAAACCCACCAAGTTCAACAGAGACGCTCACATCAAATCCACCAAGTTCAACTACTTCAACACCGCTAGCAAAGTCAACGTCAACCCTTCAAACAGGTTATGCTTATTCTTTTGACTTGGGAATTGATATTCCTAAACAGCCCAATCTTGGCCAATACCCTGAAACCAATAAGCTACGGTTTTGTTCACAGTGGTATAATAACAGACCTTAGCTTGAGTATTAGTATTCAGTGATAAAAAATGCTGCCTTTTGCTACTGTTGTAGGAAGTTTGGCACGAGCAGTGCAGAGAAAAGTTTCACTGATGTAGGTTACATAAACTGGAAGACAGCATTGTCATCTGGTAAAGGAATCAGGAGGCATGACACCTCAAGTGACCATCTGCAATGTATGACACTTTGGGTGGAACATCAGATACGCATTACAAAAAAGATGGGAGTCAGCACCCTTCTCAGTGCTGATCAGCTAGAGTTTTATCGCTATTATCAGTGGGCAATTATCGAGATCATACAGATTCTAGTTGGGAAGAAAAGCATCTTAAGGGGCAACGATATCAGTGAACTTGTATGGAGGAAGGATTTTTTTCAGACCATGTTTAACTATGCCATCAGCAGAGATAAGAAACTGGAAGAAATTAATAGCTCAATTTCACGCAACGCAAAGTATACGTCAACTGAAATCCATAATCAAATTCTCGGTCCACTCGCGAAAACTATCCAACAAAGAATCCGAAATGAAGTTGGTGATAAGAAGTACACAATAAAGGTGGATGAAACTTGTTATAAGTGCAACCGTGATAATCTGTGCTTATATGTGAGGTACTTACAAGACGGAAATATTGTTGAACATCTACTTGCAGTTATTCAAGTTTCCAGTTTTGATGCACACTCCTTGACTGATTCCATCATAGCAATACTTCAAGAGCATAGCTTCAGTTTGGAAAACGTTCTTAGCCAATGCTATGATGGAGCTAGTGTGATGTCTGGACGATCTGGGGGTGTTCAAAAACTTCTCCAGGAAAGACTGGGCCGATCTGTCCCCTACGTGCACTGTCTAAACCTCCAGCTACACCTTGTAGTTGTTCATGCGATTTTGGCTGCAGATGTTGACGTGGACGCCTTTTTTGGCACTTGCAACATCTTCATACGTAAACCAACTGTGTCTGTTTACTACACTGGGCAAGCACTGAAACGACTGTTGAAACAGTGGTGAACTGGCCACCTACCTACTGAGAAAGTCATCAATGGATCATATAAAGAAATCTTGACGATTCTGTCGGACGTTTCCACAAATGAGAATAATACATTCTTACCTGAATTAGTGGTGGAGGCAATCGGATTGTTGAAACTGATCAAAAAGAAACCCTTTCTGTTCCATGCTGTAGCTGTCCACAAAGCATTGAGTTTACTAGCACCTGTCAACATTCATCTACAAACAGTCAGTATCAATCTGATGCAGGCCTTGATGCTAATATCATTTTCGCGAGCATCCATTGCTTTATTGAGAACCGATGAGACATTTACTACTTTGCTGGATGAAGTTAAGCTGATTCTGCAAAATACTGCAGGAGATGATAACAGTGTAACAGTATTAAACCATCAGCCTGCAGAAAAGAGAATACGTTGTGAAAACTCTGATTTCAAAGGCTACATTGTTGACCATCTGCACAGAGATAACACCAATTTGTCAGAAAATTATAACTACAAACGATCGTGATTCTGTCTAATTGACAGTATCCTGGTTGAGCTTGATGAACGTTTCTCGGAGAAAAATTCGCATCTTATTCGTGCCATGGAGTCACTAGATCCCGAATCAGAGCATTTCTTTGACAAAGACCGAATGGGAGTTCTCGCAGACTTGATCGGCCTTGAAATGGACAGCTTTGTTTTGGCTCAAATTGATGTTGCCAAAAACTACATCAGTGACCACTGGAGGAAAAACGACAAACATAACCTGTGTCTGTTTTGCAACAGCTTTACCATTTGAAATCAAAGGACTTTCCAGCCATTACAGATCTGTATGAGGCAGCATTAACAATTGGATCCTCAACTGCAACATGTGAAAGATTTTTTTCTGCTCTGACAAATGTGCTTACAGA